CTACTATTTCATGCTTCAGCTTAATTCGGTTACTTTAGAGAGTAAATGCTTCATATCATCTGATACAGGTGCTTACATGAAGGCACATGCACACAGACATGGACAAAATACACATAAATTACACCAACTATACAAATTAATCCTACATTCCTAAGTACTTCCTGACCTTTTAAGATGTCCTGATTACAGCATCATTATCTTGTACAGACTGCACAAGTGGTATCAAACACACCTCTATACAATAGGTCAAAGAGATTGTGACAAGCCCAAACCTGATGCTATATCAAATCTATGTGTGGAAAGTGAGTGAGTCACACTCTCTAAATCTCTAACAAATACCACTGAGCTCCCAGGTAAAAACAGGATAAATGTTAAGTAGGGCATTGCTAAAAGTGCAAAGGTTGTTTTAGTGAAACATCTGATTTCTAAATACCGGAACAAATGTAAGTTAGAGAATGGTCTTAAGATGTAATCAGCGATTGAAATAAAAGACTATCAGGAAGTCACGCAAGGCATTCCCAACTGGTGTTTGGATCACAAAATAAATCTTGAAAGGTAAATAGTGGGACATAAAAGAAGAAGAAGAAAAACAACAACCTATTTCTGCCACACACAGTTAAAGCTTCAGCAGGTAACTTTTAATAAAACTAAAATAAATTAATAATGATACTCGTATTTTTATAAAATATATCATAGTACATTTTTAATTCTATTTTTTAATACATTTTCTCTAATCTTTTGTCCTATGGATTACTGCATCCAAAAGTATTAAAATCAAACAGAAGAGAACAAAATCTCTCTATAGTGAAACTGCTCACAGCTCACAACCTGTGCCAGGAAATCCAACTCTCAAAAAAGGTTGGTAACTACTGCCAAACCTCTGTATTTACAGTATGTTAACACTGGCACTTACTGGTTGCTTAATTCCAGTGTAATTTCAGTAATTGCAGCATAGGTGGCCCACTAGTATGGTCATGGCTGTGTGGACTTAAATTATGGGATTGTAATGAGGTTAAACACTACAAGGTGAAATGACACAAATTTAAAAAAAACACTCTGAATTGGATAGAACTTGGCCTTAAGGTAAATATTAAGACTAATTGCCCGACCAACGTTTGAGGTTAAACTGGAGCTAAATGTTGTTTTGGAAATCATGATTTAGTGAAAGGAGTCACTCATAGTAACAAACAGACAGACAATTATCAGCTAACTCTGCTGCTTTTAAGCTTTTTAAACTAATAGCTTGGGTTTTACAGCACATTTACCGTCTGGTTCACTATCAGCAATCTGTTTCCCAGCAGAAGCATGCAGCTTTTTCAGAAAAACTCTGATAAACCCTCTGCACACTAAGTGCCCAGCACCAAATGGCAGAGCAGTGCCTGAAAAAGGCCAGTACTCACCAAAATCACTTCAGATTTTTGTCCATGAGTACCCTTACTTCTTATTAAGTACTGCCATCTCTGGTGAGCATGGCCGTACCCACCGCTGAGGTCACCAAGGTATGGTGCAATGCTGGTGAGGTATTCCTAAATAGCTGCGTAACTGCGTCTCCTTGTAAACACGCAGCTAGCTTAACACAAAAAAAAACAGCACTGAAAATGGCCTTGTTAAAAAGAATAAAACACAGAAGCAATTAGGGTTAGGGTTGTGCTGAATTACGGTACTGGTACTGTTTTTGATCTAATTAGGCACTAGTTAGGTGTCTATACGTGGAAAAAAGATAAAGCCTGTGTAACTATATCTCCATGTAAACACTAGCCTAACACTGAGAAAATAGTGCTAAAAATATCCTTGTTAAACTGATAAAAAACAAAAGTATTATGGTTATACTGTAGTTAGGGTTGTGCTAAATGCACTGAGACAGAGTTAGAGCCTAACTGGTGAAAACGTTAGCTGCTAACATTAGCTGCTAAAGAGCCAGATCTTTTTCTCAGCAGTTGGTGGAAACCAAAACAGAGCTACAAGGAGAGTGGATATTGGACTTGGACCAATGCTGTCCCGTTTCTGGAGAGGACACCAACCTCCTTCATGTCTATTTTCATTGATGAAATGAATGCTAATGTTCCTGTGAACGTCCTAATGAAGGGAAAAGATGAAAAACAATCAATTAATAGAGCTTAAAGTATTAAAAAAGTTTTAGTCTTCCCGACATTTGAGTCCAAATCACCCATTTAGATAAGACAGCAGCAGCTTACCCTCCTTCCTTGTGCCAATATTATTTAACTGACAAAATAACTAATTTATTTATATTTGGAGTATTTTAGTTCCTTCTTTATCATTCATGATTGAAATTCATTTAAACCTTAATTGATTCTTTGAGCTACCACCATAAAAAAGGCTGTAAACTCAACACTGATATATTATCACCTTTTAGGCTAATATACCAAACAGTTGCCTACTTATACATTCAGCAGAAATGGATTAACATTATCATTCATTCAACATTGTGTTTATGTCCACCCGATGAAGGTAAGTCCAATATTCACTCTCATTTAGCTGTTTTTTGTCTCCACCGCCAACTTAGAAAAAGATCTGGCTTTTTAGCTGCTAAATGTTCCGCCATGTTCCCCAGTTAGTCTCTAACTGTGTCTGTTTGGTGCTGAGCAGGTAGTGTACAGCTGGGTTTTTAGACCTTTTGCACTGAAACATCAACTAAGAGTCAACCAAAACAGTTCGGTTCCCCTAAACCAAAACAATGAGCTGAAAGACACTAATATGATTAGCTTAAATATGTTAAATTCCTCCTTACAAGCTGAGGGAAAACTGCAGAGCATGGAGATACTTATCTGTAGGACTTCTAGCAACTCCTTTCATACACACACAGTCATTTGATCCCCTGTTAAAAATATTGATTATAGCAGCTTTAAGATGATAAATGACCTCCAGCCACTGTGGTTTAACTCAAACAATGAGATTATTTCTTCCAACAGACATTTGATTCACACTCAGTTCACCTGTTGCTGGTGGATCCTGCCGATCAGTTGGTCCTGTTCCATCCTGAGCTCCATGTTCAGCTGCTCCTGGTGGCGGAGCTGAACGGACGCAACTTCCAGATTATTCTGCAGCTTCCTCTCCCTGTCTCTGGACACCAGGAACTCCTTGTCAAGCATTGCTGCAGCCACAAAGAACACAAAGCCAGAGTCAGGTTGGACCGCTAAACCATGGCTGTGGAGGATTTTCATTAAAACAGAGAAGATCTGCTGAATGTGTGCCACTTGGACTTGTTTTAATGAAAAACTGAATTTTTTAGTGTCCGCAGCATAATGTTTTAAACCGTAACACTTTAAATGTAGGGTTGTATGTCAGCTGCTGACATTTCTGGCAAAGACCTTCCTCCCTTTTGGAGGCATTCCCATCCTTGTCACCTCATCACTGCACTCATGGAAGGTTAACTATTCCTGATGTATATTCCACACACATTTCTCCTGGATCTTCTCCTGGCCATCAGCAGAGGTTAATAAAGGTCAGATTTCTTAATGTCTCTTATAGTCAACCACACTACTGAAAGGAGTTTCTTTGTATGTCCTTTTCTTCTGTTTTGAGTCTATTACATATTATATTAACTCTTGTCAAAAAGAACAGCCCATGTGGCTGTTTTACCATATTCTGTTACAAAGTAGGTTTAAAATACTTAATATTGCAGACATCAAATTAGTTCAGCTGCAGCTACAACAACATATTTTCAGTGCTGTATATCATAGGTATTAATGCCCCAGGTCATGAGGCTCACCTTTCCTAAAAATGCAAGTATGCTTTCTGATTTTATGTCATACTAATGTGAGTAATGGGAGATTACTTGTGTAGGAAATAAGGTAAATTAATTAATTATGTTTTATATATGTATTATGTGTAATCCTTGTCTTTTTCTTGTCAGATACTATCCGGTCTTACCTCTCCATGCCTCTAAAAAATAATAATTCACATGCAACAGACAGACGGAACAAAACTGCTTGATTAAACTGTGCTCACAATTTGTAGACCAAGTAGACACTGGAAACAAAAGGTTTTAAAAAGCATGAGCATTTATGCCTTTAGTCATGTTTCACTGGTAGGAAGCTCAAATCAAATCTGATTACTAATTCAGTGAAGTTATAATGGGTTAATGTCACTGTGGTGTACTGTAACTGTTTTCATAGGATAATTCTGTTAAATATTATTTCTTACCTATTACCCTGACAACATTAGAGCAATAAATACTGCCAGAGACACACTTTTACAGTCTATAAGGCTCCATTTCACATTCACATTCAAGAGGAAGTATGCACTTTTAGACACCACCATACACAACAATATATGTCTTTTAGATTACACATTATACTACATTACACTACTCTGGTACTTTATATGGTAAAATCTGGTAACCTTGTCACTTTGGATAATCGTCAGTCATTATAACAGTGTAAGTCTTTTCCTTAGTCAACATTAGGCAAAGTTAGTTATTGGTGCCTCATATACCTGTGGATTACAGGAAACATATACAATGTAACAGACACCAGACTGAACCAGTATACTCCAGCAACGGCTCTAAAATGTAAATGTGTAACTTTAATCTCAGAGGTCAAAGTCTTGACCTCCATGATTTACCTTTGTCATGAGCCAGGCGGGTGCACTTGGCCGTCAGATACTGGATCTGACTGTAGTCTTCATCCCTGTGAGTTCGGAAAAACCTCCTCATGCTCATCTTTGTCTGAACTACTCGCTCCAATCTAAAGCTTCTTCTTCCAACTTCCCATGATCCTCAGGGCAAGGCGGGTGTGTCCCATATGGTCAGATAGGACACGGAGTGCACATTACCCTGTATGTCTTAAAGAAGACGCACCTACAGAGGGCAAGTTTAAGCATTAATCCGAGCTGCTGTTTTCATAACACGGAGGCGAGGCACGCTGCTGGTGTGTGTGTGTGTGTGTTTGTTTGTGGCCATCTGGCTCGCTGCTTGAATACATAGAAAGACTATGACTTCTTTCATGCACAAATTGTAGGTTTGATCTGATATTATATGAAACTTCTGGCCCAAGGCACAGAGTGCTGCAAGAGGGAGCTGAAGCCAGTCGGGCATGTTGTGTCTAGCAGACGGGTGTCTTTAAAGCAGCAGCCTCAGGTTAGTACTTTTATAATATAGGATTGCATAAGTGATTTTATAGAGGAGAATACCTCTGTAATTTAATAACAGCTTGTATGTTGTGTTTTAGATGTGTTAGTGTTGTGTGTTAGTAGTTTGTATGTAGAATATTATACATTTTTGCGTATTTCTCATGCAGTCTGATAGATGTGGCCTATGATTGTCCGACTGTCACTATTGACAGATGGAAAATTCTGCTCATTTTTTAATCATTAATAGTGGCAGAATTGAGTGTTTTCATGTCATTGATAACTCAGTACTGACTGTCAATGCATCATTAAGCCTATAAAGTACACCAAATAAGGTGAAGAGAAAATAAATACCAGTTACTTATATTTATATAATATTCTATTATTATTCTCACTATAGGGTAAGTTATGGGTTGCTAGTGTCAAATATGTCTATAAATGAGATGCTGTTTCCTTACTTTATCTTCTCTCGTCTTAGAAAGGAGTTGGCAGTGTCAGGACTTTGCATGCTGCTGTTGATGCACTAACTACTGCCAGCAGAGGGAGACAAAGCACAGCTCCTCCTCTCAGTCTACCGCAAGGAGAACCAGTATTTCTTACTTTGTATATGTGTATATGTTTAATACATTTATTAATTTTAGTTTTTGAATGAGTGCTGTATAAAAGCAGTAATGTGTCAGGACGTTGGTCTCCCATAATGATATAAACACTGTTTTAAGTTCTTTTCCAACATTACAAGAATAACCTTCAGGGGTAAAAAGCTAATTCAAGGGGATTTCTTTGGGGTAAAATAAAACAGTGAACTGTGCTAAATAAATATTGACTATTAATATGAATTGTTAACAACCTACTGTATGCATCCAGGGGCCTGTTGTGGCCTGGTTAGCTTTCTAAAACAAATGAGATGATGTTGTTCTTTATTTTTTTAAACATCAGTCCGTTATTATATTGATCTAACTGATCTGTTTTAAGTTGCTTCTAGCACACTTACAGTGGCTTTGTAAAGTATCCAGACTTCTTTAGTTTTTGCACACTTCATTGTTTTGTACATTTACATTTAAAATACCTAAAAAATTACATTTCTGGTCATCAATCTACACCCAGTAACCCAAAGAACAGACTTATTAGAACAGATATCTGAAGGATAATCAAAGCAAACAGGATGACCTCAGTTTTGCTGCCATAGGAACTGGTCTGAGTGGGTTCTTGTGTGCAGCCAGAAATGTAAATTTAATGAATTTTAAATTAAATTAATAACTAAAGTGTGCAAAAATACATACAATATAGATATAAGGCCGTGATTTCTCCTATGAGGACTTATTTTATATCATACAAAGATGTTTTATTATATTGTGATCATTATTTATACAGCAGCCTTCAGTTAGAAAGGGGAGGGGGGGGGGGTATTTAACACAAAAGACTTAAGATGATTAAAAACCATCACTGTACATGCTTTAAAGACCCTCCTTCGATCTAACATGAGATGTTTTGACTGTTGTTTTGTCTATAATGAGCTGATTCTCCTGAGACCCTGAGTGCTGCTCAACAACAGCACAAACTAACTAGGCCACGCAGATGATATCAGTTCAGCTTATTTCCTGTCAAGTAAAACGACTGAGACTATATTGCCTGATATATATATCTGATATCTGATCCAGTCAAGCTAGCAAGGCATATGCATGTGTAGTCATTCAATAGAGAGGATGTTCAAAAATGGCATTTATTAAAAAAAAAGAAAACCACCATGCTGACTTCTGCCTCTTGAACACAAAAGTTGGAGATAGAAAATGGCATTGGACATGACACGAAGCGTCCCATAAAATAAATAAATACATAATCCTCCCAAATCTGTGAGAAACAAAGTGTAACATCTCTCTTAGAACAGAAACACAGAGAAACCCGTCTACACACCAGATTCTGTCACATCGGGGAGTTAACAAAGAACATTTAACAAATCGAGCTTAAAATGCATACAGTGCCGTATAGTCACGTCTCAGGAACACAACATGGAGTCCCCCTGCTTGTCCAACCACAGACTGGCTTACAGACCACCACCACTGTGCTAGAGCATGTTCTATTAGATTCATAGTGGTGTTACATAATAATAATAATAATAATAATATGTACAAATCATGTCAGTAGTTCTCAATATTTAGTAACTTGGTTAAATACATTTTGAAGTGAAACTAAGAAGCTACCATTGTTATGGTGCGTTTAATACAATCACTGCTTGCACTGAGGCTGTGATCTCTGGAAGAGTCACGTACCAGACAAGAAGGTTCACAAATATTAGAGCTGAGTGTGAAGTGTTAATGCCAATGTGTAGTGCTAAAACCCAGAGTTCACTTTTAAAAACACTATTTTCTAGACACAGGTTCCTGAGGCAGATTTCCAATGCTTGAGTTTTTCTTTTATGTAGGATATAGTGTAAGAACAGGTAACGTTGTGTACTGCAGCAGAATGATCAGCTGTTACAGTTCACTCAGTGGGACATTATGATGCATATTCATTTGCTTTCTTCCTAGGTGATGAGATGACAGATATTCATGTCTGTGCTTCAAGTGGGATGCCAGGGCCGGGAGGTGATTAGCTTAGCATAGCCCTGGAAGCAGGGCTTAAACAGTTACTGATTAACACGTTGCATCTTGTTTGTTTAATACACACACAAACAAAAAAATTAAAATGACAAATGTATTTTTTGAGTTCTGTGCTATTTTTACAAACAAGTTGATCCAACAGTTTATAGTTAAAGAACATAAATCCCTCTCAAACCAACCATTTGTTTATGGAGGGGTTAAACAAACAAGATACAACGTCTTAAATAATGAGCTTCAGAGGTGTTATTTTTTAACGTTTACAGGCTAGCTGTCGCCCCCTTGCTTCCAGTCTGTGCGTTAAGCTCGGCTAATCACATCTTGGCTCCAGCTCCATTAACACACAGACGTGAGAGTTATATTGATCTCCTCATGTAACTCTTAAAAAAGAACATATTTCCCAACATGCTGAACTATACCTTAAATGCCAAGTTATACAATGGGAAAGAATATACAGTGGGTGTTCAAAACTTTCACTGGAAATCTGCTGTGCATGGAAATCCATGGTTAATGTAATGTGATAATCTTCTGGGCCTACAACACACAAAAACTGAAAATCTTTCAGTCTTAAAACAAATGATGATACTTCAGTCTCGTGAAAACTCACATTTTTCATCTTCCAGAGAGCACATATTCAAACTGAGCCGTCAAACAATAAAACAAAAGCAACATCTAAAGAGGAAATGTTCGACACTCAACCCTCCGTTTCAACAAACCAGTGCTTCGACGAGGCAGCAGATGCTCAGTTCCTTGTTTAGCCACGGCTAATGCAGTTAAACAGCAAACAGGAGAGCTCCACCTGACTGACTGCAGGCTGTGCTGATCCCAAAGCTGCCAAACAGATTACACAAACCGGTGTACAAATTTCCTTCTCACAGGAAGGAGAACATAGAAGCACTTCAAAACAAATCATAAGCGTGTTTTTATTATGAAAATGCTGGTGCAACCCAATGTGCTTCTACAGAGAAATACAACATTAACACTGAGCACAGACGATGCAGGATTCTTTTATTTTGAAGGAGTCACGTTTAAAAGCTTAAGGGCTGTTAGTGACTGACCGGGCCTTGATTATAAGTAGCCCAGTTCTTAGCTTGGCTGAGTTTCCAACAGGACTGCTGTCCTCAAGCTAATCCTACGCTAGCTGGCAGCTACTATAGGCTTTTCATGCTTTCTTGACCTGACAAGGCGAGGCTTACCCATACTTACAGTGAGGTAAGAGCTATCATGTGCAAAATAACATAGGGAATATGCAGCCTGCATCCAGTTGGCACCTGGGAATTCACCAAGTCAGTTTAATTTGATCTCAGCGGTGATGGCAGGGGTGTTTAACAAACCCTCGCATTCTGCTGCTCCTGAACATCGTCTCCTTGTTTTGTGTGATGACATGTTTTTATGGGTTGCAGACAGAAAAAAAAAAAAAAAAAAGGATAACACTTATTTCCAACACGGTCTAAAAACAGAAAGAAAGAACATGCTGCCGGAAAGATAACTGATTTAAATCACATTTACACATGTAACAGGGTTTGAAAGATGAGAAGGGTTGGTGGCAGTAACAGCCCATTTCTTTCACCAACACACACTTTCACCGCTTAGTGTTGGTAGCATTACATCAGCAGAAAGATGGTGAAAAATCTGCATTGTATCAAGCTGAATTTTCACATTTCATCGACAATAAAAAATAGAAACAGTTCCAATCAATAAAAGCCGTGGCAAATGGAAAGAGAGCTTTTTGCTCATCATGAGTGGTGAAATCTGAGCTGGTACTGTGCAGATTTTCCACCGGTTTTCTGCTGATTTTCATTCAACTCAGCACTTAGACTGGAAATGCACACCCATCTGAGCTCCGAGTATAGAGAGAGCTTCTTCCAGAGTTTCCCAAGAGTGTTTACTAAATGGAGAAAGGAGCCCAAGGTACCACCCTGTGCTTTTGGTCAGATTAAGTCTTGTTCAACATTCAATTGGATTCCTTTTCACATATTCTCACAGACAACACAAGCAGTTGTTCCCCGACGCTCATCAGTTCAGAACGCTCAAAATGAAAGCTGACACACAAATGGAGAAAACTCACGAACACAGAAGTCAGACAGCGTAGCTAAAATGAGAACAAATCCAACTCAGAGTCAGTTTTTTCCATCCCACTTGTGTCAGTTCAATATGATGCAGGCGGTAAAAAAAAAAAGAAGGAAAGAGAAAGTATTGCACTGGTTTGGTGTGAGTCTATGGATGGGCGGTCATCATATAAATAACAACAACAAGAACCAAACAGTAATACCATAATAATAATAATTGTAACGCTAATAAAAACAGTTCCGACTAAGGTCCCCCTCCCTCTGCTGTTTTACCACTGCTGCCAACTGAAGTCGTCGTTGGATCCGAAGACCAGGAAGAAGCCCATGATGGTCGCGAAGATGACTACGTTACCCGTTAGCACGAGCGCACACGCCCCCCAGGCGATCTGTAAAGCAACGCATTAATAATTCAGGTTAACAAATGCTGCTGAGTGCTGCCAGGCTGCAGCACGCATTTAGGCCAAAATCAAGTGGGTGTCAACAGCAACAGTTCACAGAATCCTTTCTACACGCGGCCCCACAGTTGTGTATTCAGGACACACAGCAGGAAGGGACATTAACAGCAGCCAGCAGCTGAGTGCTGGTCATCTGTCACTTCCTCTGCAGACAAACATTTTTAAACTCATTTTTACCAGTCGCCTCGCTAGTTTTGTTTGACTTTGTACTCTGGATGTTCTTGCTTATCTAATTAGCATATTTCCTTGCTCCGTACAATTCAGTCTGCTGCTGGAGCAAAAGCCAGACCTGTTAGGGAGGCACTGATAAGCTTGGCGAGCAGAAATACTGATAGTCTTTTAGTTTACTGACTTTCCTACCCTATCTATGGCTTCCAGGCCCAAGGCCATTGGTTCCTTCTGAAGACATAAATACTTAAAAGATGGGTCACAAATAAATGCTTTAATTTTTAAGCACTTGTGAAACAGCTGGTCGCTGGTGTTTTTGGCGAATGCTACTATAACAGGAGTAAATTGTGCATTTGTTGTGGAGCATTTTAAGCTGTGGATTAATTCATATTTGGTGCTCTAGCAGGTGTTTGGATGTGTTGTCTTGGTTCTGTGAGTAAAGCTCTTGTAAGAACGGGATGTTTGATTGAGACACAGTATGAGGAGAGACGGATGAATGTGGGTGTCAACTTACACAGAAAGTGAAATACTTCCTCTTACGAAAGGTTGGTTGAAGATAAGGTGGATTGTTTCAGAACGTGTGGTGGTATTAATGTTGTTACTGTAAATTCTACTTTACTTCTATGATCAGCTTTCCAGGAAGTGAGACGTTCAATTTAGCATTTATTATGTAGTAGAATAGATATGTAGCACAAAGTTGTGTCCTTTTGATTTCAGATTTACTGCTTTGGAGTTACTACAAATCTGTATGCACGTTCTTTTTGACAGTACTTGATTCTGCAACTTACTACTTCAGCTCTTGCGAAGACGATGGGCAGGCCGAAGGCTGAAATGACGATGCCCGTCGTGAGGAAGATGGCCAGCTCCTTGCAGGCGTTGCTGGCCGAGTCTGTGTCGTCGACCACCCTCCGCGAGATGCAGTAAGGGATGGGGGAGAGGATGTAGAAGAAAAGGAGGAACAAAGGCCAGTATTTGCTGCAGAGAGGAGGAGGGAAGGAGAGATAAATACCCACATGCTGTGATGATAAAGGATGCAGTCAGGTGAATTGAGGGATAAAGAAGCAACCCGTGTTCAGCACATTATCTCAACAGAAATCTGATGATATAGCCACAAATATTTGTTTTTAACATTAACAAACATTTTAGATAAAGATCCATTACATTTGAGGATTATAGAGTGGTGGCCAGTGAGACAGTTCACAGTTGTTTACACTTATAATAAACAGTAACTGAGCTAGCATTTGGTGTGGCCAAGCCTGTATTATGAATGTTAATGAACTTCTTTGGTATTTCTGCACTGCAATTTCTTGTCACTCACTGGCTTACAGATACTGCTTTATCTATGATAGGCTGGCTGATTATATCAGTCACTAATTGATTTTCTAACAGACTTCTTCCCCTACGGTCTGCTGGACTGAGGCTGCCGTTTAGTGTAATGATAACGGCTGAAACTGAAATGAGATTAGATCACAACAGGCTGATTTTGGGCTGTGGCTCGAGGTATCTCATGCAGGCAGTGTGAAAACCTTGTCAGCCGTGTTTTGAATAGGCAAATCAACTCTATCCAACTATAGTGGAGAGGTTTGGTGTGCTACAAAAACACTGCAAAGATGGCCGGGCTGTCTTTTGACACAGTCACAGAGATCTGAGCTGAAGCTTGGTACATCCTTGATTGGTTTTGTACAATCATGCAAGGGTGAATTACCAACTGTGAAAAAGCAGGTAACCATCCAAGAACCCAAGCTTTACTGTACAACTGCTTTAAACGCTCCAATAAAGTCCAATATCCACTGACACTGTACGTGGCTTTATTAGTGAAAACTGAGGTACTGCAGGGTGTCAAAACCTTCATTATTTCAGCTGACATTGTGCTTACTTGGTAGCCTGGTTCAAGACCTTTGAAGAACCACTCACATCTCAGATTAGTTCAGTGATTCAAATAGGTCTGGTGTTTCAGCCAAGTGGAGAAAGCATCAACCAATCAGAGGTTTGTTCGCTGGATTAAGAATGGGGATCTTCTTCTTACATAGCTAACTACCTGCCTAACCACATCCATTAAAAAATGTACAGCTGTACATGTTGTTGTAAGTTGATTTACAAACAGAAAAAAACACAAAAATCACCATATTATGTTAGCCAGCTGGAAAATGTTAGGTGAAATGTTAGAAATACCAAACAAAAGTCGCAGAAACAGGTGAACAAGGTGTCAAAATAGAACTTCACTTGATTGTTTATTAAGGTGGAAAAAGGACTTTGTCTTATAAACAGTGGCAGGTTAGTATTTATGCCCCAGAGCAGGTTAATCCAGCCATGCATTCACACCTGGATTTAAAGCTGAAACCCTCTGATGGGATCACCCAATGTGCATCTGAGTGCCATGGTGAACAGTGCCCTCACTCTCACACACACACACACACACACACACACACTTTAACAGGCTTACATGGTGTGTGTGATGGTGCTACTTACTCGTACACAGGGAGGGCACATCCAAGCATGAGGAACATGAGGCCAATGGCCCCTCCAAAGGACAGACTGATGAGAGCTACAAGAGACAGAGGGGGACAATGTCACACAGCTTCTTTCTGAATCTTCTTTGTGTATCCCGAGAGCCAGAGGGACCACACTGAGGGACCACACTGTGGCAGCAGCAGGGCCCCTGGCTTACTGTAGCTATCATGTGATGAATCAGCTGATTTCACGTGTAACAGCTACATTAGCTACCCGAGCCATGCAACTCGGGGGTCGTGTTGGACCCTGATAGCGATGCAGTCAGTGTGGTTGCTCGTTAACAGCAATGAGCAGTGAATCCAGCAAGCACAGCATCTCAGTCAGCGGCTGTGTAATTACTGGAGTCAGGTGCAGCTAGCATTAGCATTACAGCGGTAACCACTAGGTTGTTCTACTACCAAGAGAGACTGACATTAAATACATCACAGTGCAGCGGTACAGGGCTGCGGTACAGGGCTGCACAGCGCCAAATAACTTCATTAATATGCGTTTTAACTGTGTTGACTGGGTATCGGTCGCTTTCTAGCCCAATGGATGCAGGCTGCTCAGCTAATGCTATCGACTGTATTGGCCCTGCGGCTGACTACTTCTTCTCGTTACCGTCAGATAGATGGACCCGCGAACACGTTCCTCCGTCTTCACCATATTCTGACTCAGTTATATCAACGGAGCCCGCAGTAAGGCATTTATAAATGCAGTGAGAAGTGGAAAGGTCTTACCTTTAATCCCAGCCATTTCTCCTGGACAAAAGCTCGACACACACAGCCCTACCGAGTGACAACAGTGCCCCCTCCTCGGCTGTTCGAGTCCCACCGACCCGGCCTCTACTGCTGCCTTCACGGGCTGCCGGAAATATCGGAATTAGGACCTCGTCACGCAAAAACACTCACTTAGTCTTAAGTATTGTCAGCAACTGTCTCAAATATAAAGTGAGGTTTCTCACAGTGTAATGAATATCACTATTTATGTGTAAATGTGTAATAAGCATTGTAATTTGTAGATAGAGTTCAGCCAACTTTAATGACTTCATAATACTGTTGGGTAGTTCATTTTATTTTATTTTTATTTCATTTATTTTATTAACCAATGATGTGTTTTGTAATTTTGATTGTAATTTAGTGGAGTAACATATACAACACTCCCCTCTGCAAAATAGTTAAGTATATCTTCTCAACAACTTTCTGTATTAGTTCAGACATTAGTGCTGCAGCCCGACTGAGCTGCCTAACTTCCACGGCTGCTCTTGGGCCGTGAATGCATCATAAGTGAGAAACCATAAAGCTATCGTAAATCTCCAAAATATCAGCTTTTATTTATCACACAAACGACGTCGTAGTTAGTCTGTAATCGCGGGGTTGTATTTGAATTGTATTTCTAAATGAATAAAGACGATTACTGCTGACCCGGATGTGTACAGCTCCTGCTTCCGTCGCTCTGAGTCCATTCAGTGAAGATGGCGAGCGGAGGAGTGTCGGTGGCTTCACTGTGGACCGAAGTGAACCGCTGCGGGCAGAATGGAGACTACACAAGAGCCCTGAAAGCTCTGACTAAAAGTAGGAGTTAATGGCTGTCTTTGTTACTCTCAAAAGACAGACAGACAGCAGACAGACAGACAGCAGACAGACAGTTTCTTCTCGCTGCAGTTAGCAGAGTTCAATGGCTAAGCTAGGGCATGGCCAGCTGTTAGCATGTGGCTAGGCTAACGGCGGTAAGACAGCTGCTGGTCCGGTCCCTCAAACACCGAGTAAACTCTGTAGACCAAATATCTGCGCACAACCGTGTGTCTGAGTGATATAACGTTAGCTACAGCGCCAGGGGATCTGTGTAGGTTTTATGTGAAGTTATAAAACAACATTTAGCCGTTGCTGATGAGTGACGTGTCCCTAGCTCTTCAGCTGAGCAGCTCTCAGTCAGCGGTCAGCACTCCGATACAAACCTGTTTAATGACTCACATTAATAACCCCCTCACTCAGCGCCGTCCCTTCAGTCCCTCTGCATTACTTATGATGTCTGTGCGCTGTGTTTTTCTCCTTTTCTGTCGCAGTTTTGCACGAAAACAGAGACGATGTGACGGCCCTTCACTGTAAAATAGTTTGCCTTGTTCAGAACGGCTCGTTCAAAGAGGCGCTG